GGCGGTTATGAAGCTTTAAAAACACTGCTTAAATACTGCTTAAACACAGGGTATTACTGTGCGTGTGAACGAGCCCATAGGGTGTTTCAGGCTGCAATGCTCATGAGATTATTATATTTTTTGAAGCATATATATTACAGTAAGTATTATCTATGGCAAGGTGATGGTTTACATCTTGCATTGAAACAGGACAAGTCCTTAGTTACATACCATTTCCAAGCAGCTATAGACTTTTCTGTGTTCCCTTGTTGGGGCTTGTTCAGTCTATAAATGTACTGTATACTTGAACAAGCTTGCACCAAGCTTACACAAATTGCTTGCTACTGCCATGATACAGTTTGTTTTCACTAATGCACCAATAAACGCATCATTTATTTTCTGCAGCTGTGTAAAAACCTACATCTATATCCTTTACATATCAGCCGCAGCTGATAATGAGATAATCTGCATATAATTACAATTTGTTGCCTCCTTGTGAGCAGAAAATGTGTCAAATTTATTTTCTTTTTGACAGCATTATAGGCGCCAGTTAAGGTTTACCATTTGCCATTTATATCTAAGGTTCGGTAGCTATTAAAGCTCTGTCAAGATCTGTTTTAGAGATGATAATATTGCAAAGCCAATACTAATATTCCATTTTTTTCCCCAGAATTTATTCCTGTTTCTTCTTTAAGCTTCTAGGAATTACTAACTAATTTATTGAGTGAAGTAAAGGTGACTGAAGCCTGCTGCCGGCTGATGTCACTCAGGCAGCCCAGGCTCTGAAAAGATCCTAACCATATGGTTGGGATCCACCTAGATGCCTGGACTGGCAGATGGCTCAGCCTCTCGGTGGGCCACTGAGAGCCTCAGCCAGCCGATCCTGTCCCCCTCCTTAGCCACGTGTTCAAGTGAGTGCTGGAGGCGCACAGCAGAGAGCCGGAGACTGACAGTCACTGGATCTCTGCTCACTAAAGGCTGAGAACTGAGCAATCAGTGGTCTTTGATCACTCAGTTGTCAGTCGTAGAACTGGCAGAGGAAAGATGCAGCATCAGAACTTTGCTACATCCAGCTATGCGAGTATAAATCTTTATTTTTTTACAGCTCCATACTTTTTCTTTTAAAGTGATATTAAATGTTTTTGGGTTTTTTTTTAGTAACAAACATGTCATAATTACCTGCTCTGTGCAGTGGCTTTGCACAGAGCATGCCCAATCCTCCTCTTCTCATGTCTCCTACAGCGCTCCTGGCTTCTCCCCCTTGACCAGTGCCCCCAATAGCAAGCTACTTGTTATGGGGGCTCTGCTGCATGCCCACCCCTGAGCCCTGCTCTATGTGTTCATAAGACACAGAGAGCCATGGCTCGCCCCCCCTGTTCTCTCCTCACTGGTTGTGATTGACAGCAGTGGGAGCCAATTGCTCCCATTACTGTACCTCAGCCAATGAGGGCAGATAAACCTGGGACAGCCGAGGATTCTGTGCTCAGGGCTCAGGTAAGTATTGCTGGGGCTGGGGGGGTAGAGCAGGACACAGAAGGTTTTTTACCTTCTTGCATAGAAGGCATGAAGGTAAAACAAACCTTCATCCTTTACAACCACTTTAAAGCATCTCTAAGGATGGATGGAGTGGTGAGGAGTTAGAGCTGGAGTCACCAGCACTATGGCAATATTCTTATCACATGATTATTGTGAAAACAGCGTCATGTAAGTCAGAACAGCCATTGTGGTCATTACAACCACCCATTTTTTCCACTGGTAAACTGTAAGGCTTGCAACTCATAATTGAACTTTATTAGCCTTTGTATTTAGGGGCATAACTAGAAATCACAGGGCATCATAGCAAATATTTCAATATGCCCCAACAGAAAAAAAAACACTATTGTACATATTGTGCATACCCCACTTACCATGGCAGGTGACAAAAACCGAGGAGAGTTCAATGATGAAACTGAGGTCAGTACAACTCTGTGGAGGGGGAGGGGAGGTCCTATTCAGCCAAGGGGCAAAATAATAAAAAATAAAAAGAATAAGTGTAAAATGTTTAAAAAAAACACTTATCAACAATACTAAAATTCATTTTCCACCACGTGTATATACAGCTTAAAATTAATAATGTCCTAGGTGCAAAAAAACACATGTAATTTGCTGTTTATCACTTTATGCGTTTGCTTAATTTCCACCAAAACATGCGTATTCCAGCACTCCTCCCCAAAAAGTGCTCCACTTCCACCAGCTGTGTTCTCATCTGATATATTTGACCCACATAAAAATGCAAGGTCAAATAAGGCATGTTTCCCCTTTAAATTGGATCTTTATATACTCCACAGGGCTGTAAGCAATCCTTCATATTGGAACCCTCCTCATGCAATGGTCAATGGCTGCGAACTTTCTGAAGATTTCAGGATCAATTTCCCTTTAATATAATTTCCAGTGCTTCTGCCTCTCCAACTCAGCTCATCCACTCAGGAACAACAGAATACACCCCATAGTGCTTCACCTTTTATTAAAATGTATTCACACACTCCGCAGAATAAAACTCACATTAGCATGTGCAAGCATGCATCACCGATCACAATCATAAATGCATAAAGAAATCGCCAGTTATTCACTCCAATTTGACTACAGCTGGTTCTTTGTGTACAAGTGACGGCAGCGATCAGCTGAACTGTCAACTGTATCTCGCCCATGCTGACAGAGCTCTGAATGGGGAATTATTTAATTACAGAGACCCCCACTACACCACATCCCTGGGGCCACAGCTGCCTACGTCTGGGCCCCATAGCAGCCACATGGGCCACTGTAGTAGTTTTCCCACTCTTTTTATTGATGTTTGTCTGTCTCGCTGCTATTGGGATTCACTCTCTTTATTTGTCTAAAGATACTTTTTTTTAAGTCATCAGGAAAGAAATACAGGGAAAGTCTTCCAATGGGCACATTTGCTCTGATGACAATGGTTTAAAGGGGGATTCACTTTGGAGAGATTTCCATGCCGTGCTTACAAGACAGGAAGTTAAAGGAAAATATCCCCATTTGGACATAGATGGTAAAAACGAAACACAGCAAGGGTTTATACTGTTCCCTACTGGTTTTGTATTTAAAGTGGTTGCAAATCCTTACATATACCCAGTAAGGTGACTGACCTCAGGTGATACACAGAGATTAAATAAATTCACCTACATAAGTTGTACCTGTTTATCCATAGCCATCTGTCAACTACATCCATTTAAAGTGCAGAATTTACATAGGATCTCTCAGCTCAGAAAAATGAGTCAGTGAGGATAGATCTGAGAGCTGATTGGAGTGAAGGGACAGAACCCCCCTTCCCCCGCAGAACTCACAGGAATAATGCTAAAGCTGTCAATCTGCTGGAGGTCCCTCCCCTGTCACCATTTTCTCTTGGTGTCAGGAAAACTCATGCTGATAGCAGAGGAACAAAGCTGCAGAGAGAAATTACACTTAATGCTCTTAATTGAGACATGTACACACTATAGAGGGATATGCTTTGTTCATATTTCATGTCTGAGGTTTTCAACCACCTTAATTTAATTTATTTTAAAAATGAGTCCACTCAAAGGGGTTCAGAGAGAGCTCTGGAAACAGCCTTTTTATAAGGCATTCGATATTGGACTAGATATACTGTTTTATTGTAGATTATTAAATAATACAATTGTGTTCCAGGTAATTTTGAAAGCATTCTATATTTATGAAAGTGTATAGTTTATTTATAAAGTGCGATCAGTGTATGCAGCTCTCTGAAATCTCCGGTTTACAAACAAGGGCAAAGTGCACAGTGTGATAAAAAATATATGAAACTTTAGCTAGCAAATGGTTCAGGAAGTTATAGTGCAAATCTTAAGTAAGCACATCAAAGTGGGTCTTCAGTGAGTCAGGGTGAGATGAGACTTAGTACTGTGGAGTTGAATCACAGTCTCTGTTGTGACAAGTAGTGGTAACTATTATATACAGTAAGCTACAAATATGGTGGAATAGTATCATATACAGCATACCAATCCATATTAATGAATATGACCAAACTTTTGAAAAAGTGGGGGATTGGTAGTGTTGATGATGAGAGCATTGCATTGTCGGACTAAAAAAATCATTACAGTATTGAATTTTTAAATTATTTTTTTATTATGAGGTTTTCATAATTTCTGTTGTTTAGCATGTGTTTTTTTTTAGTTTTACAAACAGTTTAAGCTCTGTTGTTTTATTAACCACTTGCCCTTTGGAAGGAGGAATAATGTCCCATTGTTAATGTCAGGTAGAGGAATAGTGTCCCATCATTATGGTCAGTTGGAGGATAGTGTCCCATTGTTGGTGCCAGTGGCAACAATTATGCCTCATTGTTAATCTCAGTGGGAGGAATAATGCCCCATCATTGATGTCAGTGATCCAAGCGCTGGATAAAGGCAAACAAAAGGACACATCTGCCCCTGGGCCACAGTTTAGAGACCACTGCCATAAATGATCCCCCTTTTTTAAAAAATTGCAGAATATAGCACTACTCATGACCACGTTAATGGATAAGTGGTACAGGCTACTTGAAAGTTCAATATTTTCCCTTCAAGCAAAGAGGCCACTCTGTCATTTCATACACCATATTATGCCTGTAATCTGCTCCTGGTTTAGTTAGTTATAATTTGATTTCATATATATACAGTATATATCTAGCAGTATATAAATAATCAAATAATACCAATAATTATCCCAATAGATAATGGTTTCACATCATTAACTCATTAGCAGATACATTACAGAGAAATTATAGAGCCTTGTGGTTAGAAAGATAAACTTCTGAGTATTTCTGAAGCTGAAAGTTATGGGTTTTATATGTTGTAGTGCAATGTGCAGGATAATACAGCCACTGAAGTACCACGGCAGCAAGCTAGACCATTTTCTGTTTTGGTCCATCTGCTGGAACCTGAGTCTTTCATACATTTTGTTTTTTTTTTTCTTCCCTTGTAAAGGAAACTGTAGACAGAGAATCTTGTAAAACAAATTTCCATGTACAAAGTGGCAGTTGAGATGCATATGTTTACAAAATGAAAACTAAGCTGAAATCTTTTCCATTTCACAGCTTCGAGAACATTTGGCCAAAGGTCAGCGTTTGTTGGCGGGGCAAGGAATGACTCAGGTAGTTCGAAGTATGTTGGAGCTGGTGTCAACCAAGAACTACTACAGCGGAGACCTTCTTTTTTGTGTTGAAATCTTGCGCAATGTGACTGATACTTATAAAAGAGCAACCTATATACCTTCATTTGAAGATATTCAGGTAATGAGATCTTATCAGGATTGGCTAAATACATATATTGTACTGTCTAAGTCATTACAGTTAGCAGCAACATTTGCTCTAATATAACATGATGCATATACTGTACCTAGGCTCAATTTCTAGAAAGAGATGAGTAACTTGTAAAAATATATTAACAGATCAATCAAGAAGAACTTGTTCATTACTACTTACAGCTATTTTTTGATAAAATATAAAAAATATGATGTTGCATTAAGTAAATCGATAACAAACACATCAAAATGTGGTGCACCTGTGATATCGCAAAAAAATGGTACCCAAAAATCTCCATAGGTGACAATTTACAGGCCTTCACCACTGATCAGTTTTCGAGTTAACTGTGAGCTCTGTTGCTAGAATTATTGTTTTCACCTTACATTAATGGCAATACCTCACATGTGTGATGCGATTACATGTTAATTTTGTTATACAGGATTTATATAGCGCCGACAGTTTGCTCAGCTCTTTACAATATGAGGGAGACAGTTCAATACATTTCAGTACAGAAGGAATATGAGGGCCCTGCTCATGGAGCTTACAATCTAAAGGAAGGGGGAGGTGATACAAAAGGCGATAGCTGCGGGGGATGATCTGGTGGAGGTGATTCAAGTACAGTTCTTAGACTGAGGTGGGATAGGCTTCCCTGAAAAAGGGATTTTTCAAAGATCGCCTAAAGGCAGACAGGGTGGGGGCTGACTGGATATACTGTGGTAGGGAGTTCCAGAGGATGGGAGAGGCTCTGGAAAAGTCCTAGAGGCGAGTGTGGGAGGAGGTGATGAGGGAGATAGAGAGGAAGATATCTTGGGAGGAGCGGAGTGGGAGATATCTGTGGATGAGGTTGGTAATGTATCTAGGGGCAGTGTTGTGGATGGCTTTGTAAGCTGTGGTTAGTATTTTTAATTTTATACGTTGGGTTAGTGGAAGCCAGTGAAGGGATTGGCAGAGAGGGGCATCATTCACTGGTCAGTTGGTAAGGTGTATGAGTCTAGCAGCAGCATTCATAATAGACTGAAGGGGGGATAGCCTGTGTAACGGTAGACCAGTGAGGAGGGAGTTGCAGTAATCAAGGCGGGATAAAACCAAGGCGTGGATAAGTTGTTTTGTGGTGTCATTGGTCAGAAAGGGGCGGAATTTGTAAATGTTCCAGAGGTTGAGGCGTACATACACATGCGCACCGTGGGCCGTGTTTGCATTGGCAGGTGTGTGCAGGGCAGTGGGGGTTACGTTTAATTTTGTTTAATACCTTTTAAAAAAAATTTTAACTTTCAATATTTATTTATTTTTTTATTTAACATTTTTGCTATCAAAAGAGATTAATAAACATCTATGTGATAGAATTGGGGAGCTGACAGCAACAGAGACAGTGCTGTAAATCCAGAAAACAGTGGTCAGAACTAGGTGTGACCAGATATTGATTGTGAATCAAAAGTGATATTGCTGTGATCCCACTGTAGCACAAGTTGGCATAGCCTACAAGTGAGTAGCAATGCTATTTTGAATTCAAGAGAAGTGCAGTATCATTATTAAACCATCAAGCTGCATTAAGCCCTGTTTCACACTGATGCGAATTGTCATGCGATTTGAATGGTCAAAATGGGCAACAGACAAATCTCATCCAATGATTGGCAATTGAACCGCTCTAATCAGTGTGACTCTGACTTCCTGTAGTTCCTGTGCTACTTTTGCCAATTTCAGGTGTGACTTGCATAGACATCTGTGCATAAATTTGCACAGATGTCTATGAAGTCTCACTTGAAGTCGCACAGCGTAAACCAGTGCTAAGTGGACTTCACTGACAGGCTCAACAGGTGTTTGTGGGACATTGCAGATGGGCTAAGAGAAAACTGTAAGTGCAGATGCAATTAAAGTAGTATTGGACCGTTAGCGTTTTTTTTTTTACTTTAGCACGTTGGCACAATAGAATAAACATCTCCCCATATTTGTTCAAATTTTTAAACCAGCACTTTCAATGCTGCTGGATTCTGCTTTCTCAGTGCTGTTTTCCTAAACTTTTGGTCTTCATTGAAAAGAGTTAATGGTGAACAGTGCAGTCTCCAGTCACTCTGTTAGTTTGGAGAACTGAGGAGGGAGGAGAAGAAGGGATTCGGGGAGAGTCTTGCCACCTTAAGCAGGGTATACAGGTTTTGAAATACGGACTGTTTAGAAGACGCAATCTAGTCCCTGAATGCAAGGGTGAGTCCAAAGGGTGCTGCAAGAGAAAGGAGCCACCCTGAAACAGGAAACCTGAAACAGTGGTTATGACATCAGCCTAAAAAGGGGCACAGGTAAGATGAAGAAGCTGCATACTCAGTAAGTGATTAAATCAGCTACTAAAAGTGCTTAAAAAATATAATATCACTTTAAGTGCTGCAGCACATATTTTGTATTTGGAAGTCATACTTCTACATTTAAGTTTTTTTTTAATACTAGTGTTAGCCTTCAGAAGAGTGATCAAAGATTGCTGTTCAGAGGATGTTTGACAGGTGGTGAAAATCAATTTTTAACCATCTGTTTTAGCCTCTTAAAGCTCACACTGCTGCGATTGTGAGGCAGTTGTGGTATGGCCCCATTCACATGAATAAGACACATTCAGTGGGCTGCAGTACCTGCCAAACAAGACAGGGGGTTTAGTTCTTGCATGTGTATGCCTGCATCTGCTGGGTTTGCAGCTTAAGAAGGAGCGGTTGGGGTGGTAAAAATGTGGCTGAACCGTGTGTTTTTACTGCCCCCAACAGGGGCGGACTGACAACTCATGGGGCCCCTGGGCAATAGGGGATCATGGGGCCCCTGTGCCCTTGCCCAAACTCGAAAAAAAGCCTATGAAAAAGGTACCAGTGGCATCTCATGGGGCCTCTTACTGACCCCGGGCCCTCGGGCAGTGCCTGAGTTTCCAAATGGTCAGTCCGCCCCTGGCCCTCAACCACAAGTGTAAACGAGCTCTCATTCTGACTTTGCTTATTGTATACTTGTTCCAGATTAGTGACTCAAAAGTGTAGAAAAAAGGCACAGCAAGGCTGCTAATATTCTTAGAGGAAGGTCAGCTATGGCATCTTCTGTATTTTCTTTAACCATTCCTTGGGTTTTCTGGTTGTGGATAGCATTGTGCATTTTTTGGTTGAAAAAGAATTTTTTGGAGCCCATTTATACTATATTCATTGGGCTGCACTGGGCAGCCTTGCCCAATGCCGTCCCAATGCATTGAAAACAGAAAATGGGGTGTTTGGCGCACAAGTATGGGAGTTCTATTCATCACATATCAATGTCCATAAAAAGTCTCTGTGTTGAGGGGTTCAATAAGATCAACACTTTTGACCAGCCAGTTCCAGATGAGCTAGAAGGAACTCTGTAGACACATAAACACAGGGCAACAGCACATCTAAGTGTAGCAGATAAAATCACTTTCATGGTGGAAACATAAACATCTCACAAAGATAAAAGAGTAAACACTTAAGTAACATAAATCCTGCTGTAATCCCAGGTAATCTACTAGGTGTTTCTCTGTCCTGGGTCGTGAACCAGCGATGGCACTGGTGGATTCCAGTGCTTCCTGTGGTACCCAGGCAAGGTGAGGACACCATGGGCGAGAAGATGACGTCACTTCAGGGTTAGCGAGCAGAAGAGGAGCTGCACACATTCAGAGCCTGCCTTGAAGAAGAAGCACGCATGCTCTGAAAGCGTGCCTCCCCCCTTCTGCTCGCTAACCCAAAAGTGACGTTATCTTCTCACCCACAGCATCCACCCTTGACTGAGTACCACAGGGAGCACTGGAATGCATCAGTGCCACCGCTGGTTCACTACCCCGGACAGAGAGACACCTAATGGAATACCCGGGACTGCATAGTGGACTTACATTACCAAAACGTGCACTCTTCTATCTTTGTGTGTTGTTTACTTTTCCACCATTAAAGTGATTTTATCTGCTACACTTGGATGCGTTGTTCCCCTGTGTTCCAATACATAGACAAGGCAATTTGCCCTGAGTCCTATGAGTTAAGTTTACACCACTGTGCTGAAGTGGTGTACAATGGAAAAAAGTAGGTAATGCTTTATTTTTGTAGACACAGCATGCTGCAACACAGTACAGCACATCACAAAAATGCTGCTGTGACATTTCAATAAAGCTGAAAAAAAAAAAAGAAATAAGAAACAGTGTGATGCTTCGTGGCAATGCATCAGCACACCGAATCCACTGGTGTGAACAAGCCCCTAATGTGTCTTTATTATGGGTGTATTACTACTTGCTTTGTGCTCAGAAAACTATATATACAATGAAATGGTCTGAATTATTAGAATACTGATTTCCAAATAATCTGATTACTTCAAATAAGATGGGTTCTTATTTGAACCCATTCCATCTTAGAAAAATGAGTATATAAATAAATCAGCACTATGTAGGTGGTCGGCAGTTCCATTTTTACTCTCTTCTATTGGCAGAACACTTTACAAAGAAGCTCATTTAAAAACATGGAACCTAAATGGAAAAGCAACAAGCAAGACAAATAATGTTCTTCTTTGGACATCACCTTCACATTTTTCTTTGCTCTAGTTTTCATAAATCCTGACAACATTAGTTGCTTCCTGTTGGCAGTGCATAATACATGAAAAGTAAATTATTCTTGTTACTCAAAGCAACAAGTATTAAATTGTCATTTCTGTAATACAAGTTCCTCTCCTACAGTGTTCTCTTTTGAAATTTGGCATACATTTTTTCTTCATGATCTTGTCTTTGAAACTTGGCAGATATTTTCCCATGATTTATCAGTTTACCTCTTGATTCTTCCTTTACGTCGCTCTAAGTCATGTTTATCATAAACGCATTGAATAAAGTAGCCAGCATCACTGTTTTTGATGCCTGGTCATGTCCTCTTGTCTGTTGCACATTTTACTGGGGGTTCTGGTACGGAAGGCTTCTTGTAGCTCCATGCATAACATGCAGACCGAGCCTGTAAGTGCTGTCACAGTGAGTTGTAGCACAGACATAA